TAAGAAGTCTGAAAACTGTTTTTTATTACACCACTTGTGTCTACCACTTCAGAGGAAAAAAAAATTATTTCAGAAGAACTCATTAAAAAAAAATTCTAAAAATTCTCACTTTTCACCATGTTTGTAAGAAAGGTGATGATAAAGCTTTCAGAGGAACTTCCTTCTTAAGAGAGGCTGAGCAATCTTGCATTACTGAGTTAGAAAGAAAATGAATAACAAGGGAGTATAAAATGAAAAAGTCACTGATCAGGTAAATTTTAGGATCCTATTTTGCCCTCTGTCAAAGAAAAAACAACAACAAAAAAAAAAAGACGTTTGATTACTTTGAGAGTCAGGTATTTAATAACAATGTAAGAAAATTTCTTTGTCACTAGATATCACCAAGTCCAAAAGCTTGATGGGATCCCAAAAACGAACAGTCAGCATATATTAGAACTCCCTCAAATTCACTAATTAGCATTTTAAATTAGAAGAATTACAAAGCCTACGGATTTTAAAAGAAGTGTTAACTAACTCAACACCAGCAAAGTTTGCATTTCCTTCAAAAATCAGGCATGAAAAAAGAGTATTTTTTACTTCTCAAATGTTACAACTTCCTTTTAAAGCATCTGTTTGAAGCCAGAATCAGATACAGGACATCAAACTACTGTCATCCAGAATGCCAACTCCTACACTACCCAGAACAAAATGATAAAGAAACAAAAAGAGACAGTTGTCTCAGCTCTGAGTAAAGATGTCCTCGAACTCCAGAAAATAATTTTTAATGGTGTTTGTCAAATTACAGTACTTGTCTCTATCTCAAGTGAGAATTAATCCAAGTCAAATCTGGAGAGCAGGAGAAGAAAAGAAAACAGTAGCAAGCATAAGATTTGTGACAAAACAAATCAGCATCAGCAGCTGCTAGGATTTTAATGTTAGCATCTGGATGACTGTTGCCAGACTGGATACTGTATGCCAGTATCCAAATTCAGAACTAGTGCAAAAGGCTGAAAATAGTTAAAATAATAAAAACCATATGGCATCTGGTCTGCCATGTCCTTTGATAAGGCATTACTGCAGTCATATGAATGCCTAAGGTGCAGCAATCACTGACACCACTGTAGTAGGGAGGTCAAAGAAGAGACAAAACATATGAAAATCAAAGACTGAAAATAAATCAGGTTTTGTGAAAGAATATAAACAGAATATAAACAAAAGACCTTTTCTATTTTTTTTAAATACTCCTGCCAAAACAAAACCTCCTTTCCATTATAATGCAGCAACAGTTTCATGACAGCAAAGACGGCCATTCAGAAAAAAAAATACAAAACCAAAAAAGCCCCACGGCACCAAAAAACCAAAGGTGAACAAGTATTATTTAGAAACTAGATTTTCTGCAGCAGTTTTTTTATATCCTTGCTTCATGTCCCTACAGTTCTTTCTACAGAGACCACTGATCACTTCAGTTATTGGGAAAATTTAGCAGTGTGTTTGCTTCATATTTCATAAAATGACTTTAATATAATAATTCACATAATACAAAATATTTTAATTTATTTGCTCCAAACGCCATTTTCACAGCCATCACGTTCATATACAGCATAAAAGACATCTTCTCCACGAAGAAGACATAAAATCTGCAGTCTATTACTACAATATATTATTGTTAAATACCACAAAAAAAGATAAGAATGTAAAACCAAATCTTCCCCACACAGTTTATTTATGTGTAACATTAAAGGAAGCAACTGCAAGACAGTAAAATAACATGCAACATACCCCATCTACTGGCAAAATAGAGCAGTAGAACAAAGTTTTACTATACAGCATCCCAACAAAGAGATGCTAACGTTCTATGTGCTAACATGTATCTAAACCAACTACAATGATTAATTTACCAGACACACCAAACTGCACAATGCTGGTAGTTTCCTTTTCCACACACGTACATACCTTTTATCAGCGCCCAGTGATAAGAGGTAATGGGCCAGACAAAAAAACAAGACATTCAATTCAAAATTAATTAAAAAAAAAAAATCTTGTGAGAGCGGCCAAGCACTAGAGGAGGTTTCCCAGGCATGTCACCGAGCCTCCTTTCCTGGAGATACTCAAAACACAACTGGACACAGCCTTGAGCAATCAGCTCTGAGCAGGGAGTTAGACTAGATGATCTTCAGAGGCTCCTTCCAACCACAGTCATTTTGTGGTTCTATGATCAAACAACTACTTACATTAGCCTTTTGATCCATGTCCCATTCTTAGTTCTCACCATTTGCACTCTTCTCAAAATTCACAGTCAGTATGAAAACATTTTAAATTATCTGTTGCAGAACTCTCCCAAATGGATTTTCAGCAACTTCTAGTAAGGCAATACTTTTAAAACTCATCTCTAGTGTGACACACAATCCACCACAGGCGTATGTTCAACCGGGGAGATGGAAGATTGCAGATTAACTCTAACTCAGGAACGCGTATCATCATACTTTCAAACAGAACAACTATTTTGTGCCACATTTCTGATAGTCCACTGGGTCCAATCTTCAAACAGAACAACTATTTTGTGCCACATTTCTGATAGTCCACTGGGTCCAATCAAATTTTAAAAAAATTGATACACATTTAAAAAATTAATCAGAAAATAGGTAACTAAGAAAAAAAAGTTTCATACAAAATACACAACCTCAGAAAACAAACCAACACCTGATAAACTATCTCTTATTCTCTATTCTACCAGCCCTGAACGATAAAGGGTGCTTTAAAACAAACAAGGCTGCTGCACTGTTTGTAGTCCACTCTGTTTTCAGAGAAGATGCTTGACATTAATTTCCTTTAGGGTTCCCAAGTGTTTCATCTGAACTGACCTTTTTGCAGCTGTTTTCTAAAATACTGTAAACAAAGCCCCCAAAAAGAAAACCTTAATCAGAAAAATAATGGTGCGATTGATGATTTTTTCCTTAGACTTATCTAAAGAAAAAAAATAATTCAAGTTGAAATAGCAGAAAAAAAATCGAAGATTTTCAGAATTATTAATTGCAAAGTACAGGTTCTATTCTGTGTAATTAAAATACATGAATCATTGTCTTTGTTACTCTGCTCATGTACACATTTTAGTCTTTAAAAACCCCAAACTTGGTTCATGACCAAAAAACAAATTGCCACTCTACCTCTAAAATCATCTCTGTTCAGAAATCCCTTCTCTAAATTTGTTTCTTCCATTTACACAATCACAATCCACCATATAATTTGCTGCTATTCGAGCTCCCTACAATCTGCTCAGTTCTGTTCTTGCATTACTCTAGCTCCCTTCTTCCCCCTTTTAAGACTGTCTCTCTTCCTAATTTCTAGTCTCTACTGAACTTACTACATCAATCTTTAAGTGTGCCCATGTACTACCTGAATCTCTTCTGCAGACTTCTGATTGCTTATCAATTCCTGGTTCTCTCTCTTGATTACTAGATCCATCACATCACTCCTGGACTAGTTACCTTTCCCAGACTCAGCCTTAAAAGGCAGATTTTCATTTGATTGTAGTCCCAAACACCACTAAGGCTCAAATTTACTTTCCTTCCAAACCTAAATCACCAAAATAATAGCAGAAACAGTGCCTTAATACTAACTTCTTCTCTTTGTTTACACACAGAAACACTGGCAATTTCCTTCAGTTGGAGTCTCAAGTCTTCAAACAATTGCCACTACCTCAGTAATATAAGGTGGAGAAGGGAGCAGAGTTACCAGAGCTTCTTTTCATACAAGTCACCAGTAATAGCTGCTATTTCTCTTCCCGGGAGATGTCTGGCTTGGAGGTCTATAAACCCTACTGTCTGCTGCACAGCACGCACAGCCAGGAAAGTGTATCAGCCAGAGTGAGAATCTCCATCTCAGATTTCATAGGAAACTAAACAAAAAACCTGAGCCTCCCTTCCCTCCACTCTGTTTTTGCACAAGCTGACAAACGAGTAAAGAACAGCTTGGATCCACATCATCAATTTACTCTATCAAGCCATAACTCTGTACAATTGACTTTAATTCCTTTAACAGAAGAAATACCAGCTTCGGGAAATAAAACCATACAGCTCTAATTAATTAAAATATTTGACATCAACACTATCATTCATATATAAACAATGTTCATTTCTGGACAGTTACTGCCACGCCCAGAAAACCCTTTTTCATGAAGGAAAAGTACCATGAAAGAAAGCACAAAGACCAATGAACATCTGTCAACTTCAATCTATCAGTTTGCCTATTAAGCAATTGATAATGCTATTAATAATATATTAATAAAGGATTCCACCTCTTCAGCTGGAAAGCCACGCACAACTATCTGTATCTCTCATACTCACTTTCTAGTATAGTCTTTATTTTGTTTATGACAAAAATCTGTTGTGTATTTACCTGTTCTAATCAACTTACCTCTTGAACATAATTGAGTTCCTCTGATTACCTACACCACAGTCATCCCTCACAATTCTAGAGATTTTGATCACTTCACTGAACTTATCCAGTAGGCTACAGCCAGAGTACCCAGTAATGGGTACTTACATTGAAAACAAGGTGCCATAAAGGAAAACAGTTCAATTTGTAATCTCTTTTCTAACTTTTAGCATGATATTGTATGTACTGAAGATAGGAAGTAACTACAGTGCATGTGAGACTATTAAGCAGCATGCAGATATGTACGTGTGAATACACACAGAGCGTAAACAAATCTTAGACAGATAAAAGCAATCTTCTCATTGGATTAAAGCTGTCTCATACTGAAAACTGTCTTCTACAAAGAAAAAAGTAATACTCACATGAGAAAAAAAATCATTATCACAAAAACAGAAATCCTGCTTCTTTACAACTTCTTGTGCAGAAGTTTCATGTAGTCAGAAAAACAAGTATTTCCTAAAGTTCCATGTGTTTTGTGCCTAAAATTACCTCTGGAAATAATCAGTAAACAATAGTAGAGACACATTTGAGATGTTTGCCATTGAAAGTACCTCTACTTTTGCACAATTATCACCCAAGGTACTCACATGCACATTTATTCGCAGAGTTGGGCCACACAGCCATTGTGGGTTTTTGTTTGTTCCGAAATGCCTCTTCAACTCTAGCTTCTGTTTTCCGTACAGTGGATCCATGAGGATTTATTTGTTCTGCTGTTACCGATAAGCCTGCATACAGAAGATAACCATACCTATTTAAATAAACCAAGCTGCATAAAATCATTGAATTTTAAAAGAAACCTGGGATACCATGCTGCAGTGAGAACACACCACTTAATATTTAGCTGGACAATCAAAGATACTTGTTTTCTACTGACAAAATAACTCACTGGTTGCATGGTCTTAAAACTGTCAGCTCTGAAGGATTAGAAAAATATCTCACACTTGGGTCCCTGAAGATTGCACTCTTCTACCCACATTTCCTCCACAAAGCAAATTCTTACTCACAGTTTAAAATTCTTCTTGATTTTATACAGGTGATTTAAAATAAGTGGCAATTCATAATGGCATTGTATGCACATCAAAAAGAGTATCTGAACAAAATCCTTGTGTTGTCACCATAATCTATGTTATGTAAAATGTATCAATTTCAGATTCAGTATGAGCTTCTAGGTTGAGAAAATGCAATTCTGTTTTTAAGAAAAGGTCTGTTTTGCTTTCTGTAATCTAAATTCATCTCATAGCTTCTACTATTTCATAGGGTTTTTTAATTACATTCTAAAAATGCAAACTTTCATATTCATTAAGCACATTTTAAAGACATAAACAAATCTCTGAAGTTTCATACTTGTGAACTAGAATTTTCTATCCATCCACTAAAAGAGTCTTCAAAATGTCACACCATGTCTCCAATACTAACCAGAATCAAGTGCTCAAGAGCTGACAAGAATCTCTAAAAATGATGGATGCAGAAATTAAAAGATTCACAAAGGAACTCTCACCTAGCAGTTATTAGTTACAGCATAAGTTTCTAGGTACCATTATAAATATTTTAAACTGCATATCAGAAGTTATTTCACTACTCAAAACATCCACCACTTCTACCTTGTTATCTGCTGGTTTCAACGAGAAGCTGCAAATTCCAATCATCTAGTATACATCATTCTTAATTCAGCAACTTAGAACTTGCTATCCTTAGATTCACTATCTTTCTACAACAGCACCTCATTTTAGTAATACAAGAAGAAGAAATTCTAGTTTAACTTCTCATTCTAATTTTATTATAAAGTTTATCATTCTGTTACACTGCAGTACTTCTTTTGACATTGCTCACCAGTCTCAGTTCTAAATGGCAAAAATGGTAGTTCTGTCAAAAAATTAGAGAAGTTGTGGGAAAAGAAAGCAATGTAGAAAATACCTTCCATTTCAAAACTATGTAAGATTGCTAAATAACTTGCCAACAGAATTGCAATGAAAATTGACACAGAGTTTTTTAGTCTTAACCCTCATCCTTCAGCATCCCGGAAACAAATTAAGAGCTAATACATGGCACAGTTCAGAAAAATCAATGGCTTTTCAACAGGGTAAAGATTAAAAAGTCTACAGTATGTGTCTCTTGCCTTCCAAACTCCTCTGTGATTCCAGACAGAAACACTTGATAACATTTCCAGAGAATGTATTAGAAGCCTCATGCAGATCAGCTTGCTCAATTCCATCCAAACCTCATCTTGAATGTTGAATTCTTTCCAAATGCAGCCAAGAAGATGTTGGCCAAGATCTAACCAAGCACAGGGTATGTTCTTTTTGTCAGATTTCCTTTTTGATGGCCACAGCTACACACTCTGACTCAATCTGTGACTCCAACACTACCTTGACCTCTTCCAAGCAAGCATTAATACAAGTTTCACAGTCAGTTCAAAAATTGCTAGTAGATCCACATGATAAACCTGGACTTCTTTTTCATAGTCCCACTGTCTGCATTATTGCCCTTTTTTTCACAACAGTTGTTGGCAAGCTAAGAATTTTAACTCTGCTAAGTCTTGATCCTTTACCAATCTGAGTCTACACATACATACAGAGAAATGCGAACACTACATGTTTTTGGGTTTTTTCCCTTCAGACTGCACACATGCCAGTATGGCATTTTTAAAGGAACATGAGAAGAGAAGCTCAAAGTATTCTGAGATGAAAAAAAGCCTGCTGTGCACCATACAGTGAAGCACACTCACTGTGACTTCGATCTGACTATTCATTTAAGGCCCTGCTTCAGGGTTCAATTCCCCACCACTTTGTCTCATACACTGGTCAGGCAACCAGGCTGGCTGTCCAATTCCACGTGATTTCATCAGGTAGCTCCACTCAGGCAAACAGCTTGGTATGAGCTACCACTCTTGCATTTAGGTGATCAGTGGCACAAAGCTTTTGGACAGCAAAAGGCATAGTTTACACTGCTTACACAGTTTTCCTCAAGTACTTCCTCATTGAATCATTCCACTATTTCAAAATATACTCTTCTTATAAAGCAGAGGGGAAGAAGAAGGATCTGGGGATCACTTCTATACCTGACCATCTGGTAATCAATCCAAGGAAAAAAACAGAAATCCCACTGTGATTTTGCTGATCTGCCAGCTTGCTGAGCATGTTCTGCAGAGCAAAATGGGAGTAACAGCAGCATTGATCAGCATTCACATCCCTTCCATCCATTACAATGACCAGTGCCAAGACTATATGCCCGAAGTGCCATCTTCTTGATGTTCTACACCCCAATCTCTTGTGCTTGCCTTACAGCATGAGGCTTCCTCAGGCCTCAAGAGCTTGATACAGTTTTCTTCATTCATAACCAGTTAATCTAACACAGCTTCTTATATGCGTTCCAAATCTTCTGTCCTTGCTAACCCAGTAAGCGATCCTAGCCTTCCACACTCTGCAGATGGACCAACTACAGAGCTCATTTGTTCCCGAAACCATCTCAGTGTGGGGTCCAGAAGCATGAGTACCTTTGAAATGTGATCTGCGGGTATCTGTGACACTATAACAGTTTCCATGCTACTTTGAAACGTGTCCATTGCTGTATGTGAGCTGTTGACACTCACACTGGTGCTGCTAGTCACCTACCTATATCTGAAGGTCCACTAACCAGCATCTGATACCATAGTACCTTCTTTCTTATGACTCAGCAAGTTCATTGCATGACACCATCAGCTTTAAGTATGACTTCTGAAAACCCACTTTTTTTCAACAGGGTCTGCAGGTTTTGCCCCCAGAACATATATTGCTTGGTCATTGCCACAAAAAGAAGGGCAGCGTTCCAGTTAGCTCTTGCGAGAGTTGCAAGGAGGGACTACAAGCTGTATAGTCACTCTCTGTAACGAAGAGCTCTTACAAACGGTTACTTTAACCTCGGAAGCAATAACCTTTAACAATCACGGGGGACTCGTAATGAATAATTAACTGAGCATAGCTCACAGCGTGACACTAAGGCCAGAATTGTGAATATTCTTACACTTGTAATAGAAAAGTACAGAGGAGAAATGAAGGCATTATATTAGTTCTATTTTACAACCACGGTGAATTACAATTGGTTCATTTATCCACAATTCAAGACACACAATTCAAGCTTGTACAGAATTAGACAAAAAAATGCATGACTGAATGGGAAAATAAAAGGAACTGTATCCGTTTTAACCTGAAGAAGAGAAAGCCTACAGATACTTGCACAGTTCAAAGAAATTTATTAATAAAAGGTCTTCAATATACTGACAGAAGCATTTCAAGAACCAGCAGCTGTAAGTTAAGACCAGCCAAATTCAACTTAGAAATCAAATAATGCAGGTTTTTTACCAAAGCAGGAGGCAAAGCAGGAAACAGCCTGCCAAGATAAAGCTGGAATTATTGAAATCAGTAATCCCTAAATCAGCATGAAGTTTTGTTTGAATGTTATAGTTCAGCTATTTTCAACCTTTTTCAACTTTTACAACTCTAAAATTTTTCCATGGATGTACAGAATCTTTCATGTAAACAGAGTCCTGTTCCCATACTGGGAATATGTTTGGGCTTTTGACTACCTTTTCCAGTCACTTTAGAAGCTGTCCACAGACTTGGAGTTGTATGGACTACAAATTGAAAACAACTGCACCAATTCAAACAAAAAAGAAGTCAGCCATGTCCTTCACTATAGGGGGCTGTGTTTTCTGACTCTGGGCTATTAGACTGTCAACCTCACACTCCCTTCAATGCATTCTCTCCCTTCTCATAATTGTTATTACACTGCATTACATGGCATTTGCAGAATACAGCTCTGGTTTTACCACACCTTCAGTTAGTACAGCAATCCCAACATTTATCTGGTCACCATGTTCTACGATATTGTTTGTACCAGCAGGCAGTGCATCCTTCTTTGTAAAGAAGGATGGTGCTTTGTCAGACCAGCTCACACACTTGGAAAAAGACAAGTTTTGAGCTCGGTTATCCTTTAACATGCACTGCCTGAGTCCGACATGTATTCAATACTTTATCTTAAGTGTAATTTTTTATATGGACATTTGTGAATTCTGTTTTCTGTCCTATATATGTTATGTTATGATAAATGAAGTTAAACATACCTCTTTTTCTTCTCGCTTCCTTGATTTCTTCACACATCTTATTAAATTCTGGATCCAGTTCAGCAGCAATGATAGCATGAGCAGTGTCCTTCAAAGTACATGCTCTATGTCTAATTATTTTATCTAGAGAACAGGACAGCACACTTGTTAGTTTTACCACAATTACATAAATTCTTTACCATATTAATGTTGTTCTGTACTGCATACTACAATATTGATACAGAGAGAAGTACCTGGGAAATACTATAAATGTATGAAAATGTCAATGGATCTATACCCAAGCATGCTCAAGAATCGCCACCCAGCTATTTAAGAGATAGACGAGTTTTCAGAAGTGCCAATTGTTACTTTACTCAAGAGTGACAAACAGTGAATGATGAACACACCTACATCAACCTGCAATCTTTAGAAACTTGCTAGAATCAGCAGATGTGGCCAGTTCCCACAGGCAGATCTGCACAGTATAATGCAGTACTGTGCAGAGAGTCCCAAAAGTAACAGAGAGACTTGTCCAGGAATGAATTTACCCACTGGGGTCTAGGAACATTTGTACAATTATACTGAAAAATCATACTGGACATCTCCTTCATCTGTAAGGTAGACCTGGCTTGCTCATATTCCTCCCCTGTTATTTTTTTGAAACCTTAAATTATTGCTTGTTTTTTAACAACTACTAGAAAATTCAAAACTCTGCTAAACCAGATTACTTTATTGCTAATATTAAACAGCTATTTCTCATTTTAATCCATTGAGAAAACCTGGCAAGAAATAAGCCTCAGGTTTGCTACATTTTCACGTCTATCTGGGGAACAGGACAAAAAAAAATATTGCCCACACTGGAAGCCTAAACATGACTCATGAAAAAACATGTTCTCAAAGACCAGTTCCCATACCTTTGAAACACACAAAAGAAACTATTCAAACACTGTTGAAATTTGAAAATAATGGTCACTTATAAAGTAAGCCCATGTGTGAAGAAAATTGACATCTAGAATGCTACTTTTCAATGAAAGCTACAGCACTCATTGTTTGCCATTAGTAAAAACATATTTAATTTGTCAATTCAACCATACTGAATTACTTTTTCCAGCTGATGGAGGTACTTCAACAGCAAACATCAACATTAATGTCTACAACATATTATACAATTAGCAGATTTAATCTGTTTTAATAATCACTAAAGACAACAATTAAGAATATCAGTGAACATTTACTAAACAAGGTTTATAATTCTAGAAGCAGCAAATTTTACAGCTGGAAAAACTGCTAAGTGAAAAAGAACATCCAGTATCCAACTCCAGTGAGCCTTACATACGTTTTCTGGGGAAATCTATCACCACTTAAATCAACTGGAAACTAGAAATTTTTAACCAGATATATTTGTGAAGCATTACGGTTTACGACCACAAAAAAAAAAAGAAAAAATACTGCATTCTTTGCAGATGTAATTTTGCGATGTTAGACTTTTAAAAGCTGGTCAGATAATACAGTTTAAGATGCCCTTGCAAAAGAAAGAAAGAAAGGAAGGAAAATAATAAAATTTAAAAAAATCAAATCAGGAGGATTTGATTGAACTACGACTTTCTTCTAATTCTGTGATGGGCAAGACTTTCCCACAGACAGCATTTCAAAGAGGCAAATGCTATTATGTCTAACACACAATGGTTATGTTTCCATGCCTTTAAGAATACTTCCTTATCAGACAATGGAGGGAAAGAAAAAAACCCCATACCTTACTGTATAACCTATCTGAAATTTTATAGCAAAGTACCAGGAGAAAAACCTCAAAGAAGCCAGTTTCGAATATCTGTACTGTATATAAAACCAGCTAGTCTAGTACTCCAATTGCTTTTCCAACTTAATGACAGAAGTAGGTACAGTATGATTCTTTTGTAAATTCAAGCATGAAGCAGAGGCAAGCATATATGCCCAGCTTTAAAGAATGTGAACATTTACAGATTAATATTTAGTTAACTCATCTGAACACATGTAATGCTTACTCTGAATAGACATGATATGCTGCTTCCGCAGTGTATTCCTAGAAATTTTGCATGTCAGAAGACCAATTGTTGACAACACAGAGGACAGAACTATCTTTCATTACCTACTCAATGATGAGAAACTCCAAAACTTAACCTAGAAATAGCCAGATCAATTTCTCCCAGCTCAGTCCTGACAGCAAGGAAAACCAAAATATCCCTACATGAAAACCTGCCGCTAATGTTCCCCAAGATGCCTTTGTTATTTTATGTTTCTGCCACACTGAACCTGCGACTTGTGTTGTTTATTGATCCTGAGCAGATCTGACCTTGGAACTGCAGTCCCATAATACCTGCTCTAAACCTTAAAGAAAACCTCTTTAGACTGTATTTTGTAGAACTAAACAACCAAGCTCACAGATCCAAATGGCCTAAAAATGAGAACAAGGGTGTATATTAATGCCAATTTTTACGAAAGCCCATCACTTAGTCACAAACATACATCAGTCACATGCAGGAAGTATGTCTCATCCTCATCTTCTAAACAGACACTCTTTAGACACCCAGAATCCCAAGTGTCAATCAAAGGCTTTGATTAGTTCATTATCAATTACACATCAGAAGTCCTCAGAAGTGATATCAAGATGACAGAAAACCTTCTGCTGCATATAATCAGTGTTCTTTTTTAATTTTAAAACAAAATGCATTATAAATTGAAGAAATCAAGTTTATCTTCTACAGTTAAAACTAGCACTGGGTTCAAAAGGCAATGTGTAACTGTTCGACCTGACTGTTCTGTATTTAGTTTACTAATGCCTCAGAAAAATCAAAAATTTGAGAATCAACAAAAAAAACAGAAAATCAGGCTTTAACCTGGTAAAATTATTTCACAAGATTTTAATTAAAAATATTTATCACAGTGGACTACATCTGTAGATGGACCCAGATTTCCAAGTATCACATATATCAAATACAACTACATTAAAAGGGTACTTTGTTGGTGGTGTTGTTTTATTGATGTCTCTTGAAGCTGCCAATTGAAGGCTTTCTTTTTGCAATGTACACTATAAGGCGGCCCTAGCAAAGACAACATAAGATGTTCTTTCCTTAGTTTTGAGCATTAACAGCTTTTACACGCATTTCAATACACAAATTCCATTTTAATTGAAAGCATCCCATCACACTTTGTCAAGACAATACCTTCTAATCTCTCCTAATCAGCTGCAACTGACTTCCTTGCCTGATGATTTATCATGGTTTATTTCTATCCCCAAATACATAGTTCTTAATTTCCATGTGTGGATTTCATGTTCTAAGCCAATATGGAAATAAAGCAGGCCACTGCCAGATTGTATGCAGGATTCTCTACAGAGCTCTCCAAATCATGTTGGGGTTTTGTTGCATATACAAAGTCTATTCACTGAAAAGGAGCTGTAAATTTGAAAACTAACTACAAAACCTAATTTATTAGAAAACAACTCTGAATGCTGTAGTTCCCCCAGTACCCTACATGCCTCAGAATACTAAAAGCACAGACCCTTAGCACTTGCTTATCCTAACTGTCATGGAGCATGCAGTTTATTTAAATGCTTGAATAGTAACCAATTATGTGATTAAATACCAGGCTTTTGGGTTTAGGTAGGCCAAAACAAAGTAGGTCCTTACCTCCAGGATCTTTGTCTGGATTGTACTCCAATGCATTGCTGCAGATCAGGTCAATATCTGTCAGGAAATCCTTGGCTGTTAAGTAGTTGTGTTTATCAATTTTGGTTATTACTGTTGATAGGTCCATTGGCTCTTTGATAACCTCAAGGTAATCTGAAACCTATAAACAAACACCATACAGAAATGACACAGAACCATACGCATTACATTTGAACATTGCCAATTTCACATCTTGATGCTCTTCTTCATTCCACATGCTTAGCTCTAATACATTAACCAAACATTTTCATTTCTGAACAAACATGTTAAAAACAGAGGTTTAATCAGACTAAAAACACAGGACTTGCAAAACTGTAGCTCATCAATTTAGCTTTCAAAATTAATTTAATGGTATTTTTGAGACAACACGTTTTAACATAAATGTATTTTTAATTTTATTTAGACTGATTTTTTTTTTTTATTTTTTTAGTGTTATAACATTGTCCTGGCAATCAGCCTAGACCAAAACCCTAGAATAAACTAGGGAAGTTCAACTTGTAGGTAAAGTTCTCCTTAAACTGAACAGTCAAATTATCAGCTTTTAAATATCTTCTATTGAAGAGTTCCTTCAACTGCTTGTGCAACAAAAAAAGTCAGGTTTTACTGACTGAAGATGTCAGACTGATGGTACAGACAAACAGTCTGAAGAGCAAGCCTTGTGTCACAGCTCACAGCTTACTATGAGCTTAGCTTGGAATTGGAGATTCAGCAACGACTTGGGTATACTAAAAAGTATTTAATGTAATTAATGATACCATAAGGGTCTCAAGCTTGATAGTCAAATGCACCAGCACAGCTGCTGTTAACAAAATTAACCAAAAAAATCTATGAATTTGTCATTTACTTCAAGGAAAAAAACCCTATGCTTGAAAGTTTCTTAGTAATTAAGTTTACAATCAATTAAAAATACTGGCAGCCTCAGAAACAGTATTGTATTTTTCTTTTGAAATCACCCATGTATGATGGCAGCTGCCAAATACTGAAGAGTTAAATACATATTTAGATCATGTCATAACAGCTCCATAAGTCTGGGGTTTTTTTAAATAAAATATCCGTAGACATTCATACAAAATAAACAACATTGCAACATAAACTAACATTGAGCAACCTGGTCTAGTGGAACGTGTGCAAGGGAGTTGAAACTAGATGATCTTTAAGGTCCCTTCCATCCCAAACCATTCTATCATTCTATGATTTTATGATTAATGCATTACCTTTGCATTACTTTTAATAGTCTACAACTGAATTCCTTAAATATAGACATTGAAATTGTTGGTGAAAAATTAAAATTGCAAAAATTCTCTTTTGTCTCCCTCTGTGGAAACATGATGATAATGGGTTCGGTGACTGGAAAGCCAAGCCACAGGCTTCCTTTCCTTGTTAGCACATCAGAAAGGATCTTCACTGGAAACTGTAAACATTGCTGCTGAATTAGTCAGGAAAATCCTTGACTTATCACATAGCAGCACTCCCTGCAACACAAGTAGGAATGAAACAGACTTAAATTTTCAAAGAAAGTCAAGCAGACAGGCTGTTGTAGGAAAGGATAGTCCTGTGCTTAAATGCACCAAGTGGGACAAAAAGGATTACATTTAATTTCTAGTGCTTTGATATACTAGCAAGTGTTTTGGCAAGTCTTTTAAATAACATTCACATTCTGATTCTCTCCACCTACAAAACAAGGATGGTAATTTGTTTCCTTATTCACCTAAGTTTAGACCGCAAGTTCTTAGGGGGAAGAAACTGCCTTTACTGCAAGTATGAACAGTTTTCTACAATAATGGACCTCTCAAGCAGATTCATAATAAGAATCGGTTACTGCTCAAACCATGCTCACACATTAAAGAGCTCTTGTCAGTCTTTTAAAAACAGTCAGCTACTGACCACTATGGAAAGCTCAAATATAAGCCCATAAAAGATGCCTGTTCCATCCTGCATGGAATTTACACTGCAAATCTACTTTGTACAATGCCATATTCCTATCTTAATATCTTTCAAAAGAGATGCTTCTCTTCAGAAGCAATTAAGCATTTTTTTTAATTAGCAAGCTTGCAAAGCGCCAGCATCTGATCTCAAATTCAGACTCAACACAATCCTATTCATACTGCAGCACCTGAAAATAGATTTGCAGATCAAACTGTCTCAGTTAGGTATGCGCACACCATAATCGACCAGTTAATGCCTTATAATGTGCTACCATCTGTGATTAATGGCATCCACAAGCATTACTGCTGAAATTATTCAACAATACTATTAATGCTGAATACATTACAGAACACAGATCACTTTCCCAATATTATCACGCCTATGATTACAATGTTGTAAAAGCTTTTATTAAAGAATTATATTTAGGGTTTCAAATATTTCAGGAGCACTGGTAGCAGTAGGAGCAATGGCATTTTTAAATGCTGATTTCAGTTATAAAATTGACAGGAATGCACAAGGTCACTCGTGTAGCCAAACGACATGCTCCAACTCCTTGTACCACAGATGATGAGGCTGTGACTATCTCACCAGCTACAAATCAGCATTTTAGCCTGGAAAGATCGTGGATCGAGCATCTACTTTTCTAACATTAATTTCCTTTTTAAAATTTATATTCTTTTTCTAACAGTTTCAACTTCATTGTTTGCACATTACTGAAACAAGACCTCTTCAATATCCACCGGTTTGCTGAAGATGTTAAAGCGTTTGTCTGTGGCCAGCCTCTTGGTAACATCCCTGAGAAACAACCGCAGCTCTCTCAATGTGTTCTCTTCCTGGTCCTCCATTCGCTGTTTTTCTGCTTCTGACAGCTCACGGGCAGGGCATGGCAGTGCAAGAGGAAGAACTTCCAGAGCATGAAGAGCTAGGGAAAAAACAAGAAGTCAGACAATGGAAATATTAACAAGACAATGACGCTTGGGATTATGCCACTCCAAATTTCATTATATATTTAATCTGCCTCATTGATTGAACTACGACTGCATGCTTAACCCCACAGCTCTCCCATTTTCCAAGCTGATACATGTAATGCACAAAATTTATTCTGGGCACTGATTAACAGTGTCAAATGTGAATCACGCTGTTATTTACCCATACCTTTTGAAAAAGGAAAACGTAACAAAATATTCAGATCACATTATTATTGTTTTTACTGTAACTTAGTTTACCAGCCTGTTTCCTTCTTGGTGGGGGCATTGCTGCCTCATCAAGAATTAAGCCTTTGAAAAATCGCAATCTGTCTTCTTCACTTGGTTTTTGAATATAGAAAACCTCTTCATACTGGATTCTGAAAATACATTTCACCTAAAAAAAAGAAAAAAGAAAACTGAGCTGCCACTCAAAAATACATGAATAAACTTATCAAAATTAGCCGCAGGAGAGAAGATAGTAACTCTACTGAAAGCTGCACGTACAGCTTAGGGAAAACAAATACTTGTAATTCTCACTGAATTTTCTGTAGTAACTAAACTTGCAGTATCCCATGATACTAACAATAGCCACCTCTGCAGTGAAAAAAAAAAAAAAAAAGATGAAGGGCAGGAGTGGAAAAAAATTAAAAAATAAAAGAAAAGACTGTGGGAAAAAATAGGAACTCCCTTCCCCCATCCTTAGCCTCCGAATATGTAAAGCTAAAGGTCAGGCCTTTAGACTAAATCTGCATTTAATTACAGTGGAGTAATTTGTCAAAATGAACAATTCTGTCTTCTCAAAGTAGCATGGAGATTATGAAAATCAGTAATATCGGCATATACTCCTCATTAAAGAAGATTACAAACATTTAATTAATATTACATTTCCAGTATGACGTATTTTAAATTACATTAGAAAACCACTGCAAAACAGAATGTTTTTACATGATGAAAACATTCTGAAGAGCACATACCTCCCTTAACAATGCCTACTTCCAGAATAAACTTACCTCTTCAGGCAAATCACTATACATGGACTCAGAGGTAGACAGTAGAAATATAGGGGAGAAAGATGGTATATCTTGCAGCAAAGTTAGAAAAGTAGCTCTCACAGTTTCACTGACAGCTTCCCACCAATCACCAATATGAGGCATGTAAACAATACTTGGTACTGTTCTTCGAGCTTCACGGAAGATCTAATTAGAAGAAACAGTGGTATTTAAACTAAGAAACTAATGGTTATTATCACTTGTGAGTAATAAAATTCTTGTGGACTAGGAAATTACTCATGTTTGTGGTATTTTATATACAGATGTCCCAGTAAAATGTAATTATCTAAATATAAAGGCTTTCTAAACATGTGTTTGTGACTGTTAGCTAGGGAGTCTATGTACTAGGGAGACTACAGAACAACTACTTGTCATATATGTTTTAAAAACTTGCCAAGACTGAACAATCAGAATGAAAATTTAACTGGATTGCAATCCATGCAAAATCCACCACAAAATGTTTTGAAACCTGAAACATTTAAAACTGAGTAAATGAACCTAGAACCAGAGCACATCAATTCATACACAAGCTAATAAAATGAAATTCAGGAACTGAATACCCAGATTAAATTCACTGGATATTAGGTATGTGAGGGGGCAAGTTAAAAATGTAATTACTCTCAGTAGGCAGCAGAGAGATCTCAATCACCCTCTAGGGATCCCTTTCTTTTAAACATGAAAATAGAAGGAACCTATGAGAACCTAGCTTTGAAGTTACATTCCAGTTAGCTGCCTTTATATTGATTCAACTAGTCTGTTCCAGAACTACATAATTTACTCTTTACAAAAGAATCTGAAATGTCACCTGTGCACATGATTCTTCAGGCGTTTTGGCACTGACTGAATAAAGTGCTGGCAGATCTAGCCTGTGTACAGAGAATTTTTCAAGAGTGTGCAATAGTGCTGGAGCAAGGTGCGAAGTCTGACCCGAACCTCTCTCTCCAGATAGCAGTAATCTTGGTCTGTAAGAGGTTGGCTGGTGATAAGCTGACCTGCAACAGAGCAAAAGTTGCAAAGTAGAATTAACTTGCCAATGTTATCAATGGATGGACATATACAGTAAGATATTGTAGAATCCAAAAGATTTGCAGTAATGGGTAAGGTTCCTACGATAGCCTAAAGAGATTCAGCTAACTCTACTATACCTTAACACTACTCCAAAGTCTCCAAAGCTTGAGCTTTGTCTATTCTTTGATTTCACAACAATTCAAACTCATCTGTGCAGAGCCATGCACATATTAAATTGACAAAAATTCTGACTCTCCCCAGTTTATTTACAACAAATTCCTTGAGCATATAAAAAGACTTAATGGAGTTCCAGTGAAGATATTTATTTAATCACGTCTACTTCAGTCCTAACTACTACAGCATTTCTTTAGCAGCCTCAGGAATCCCAGGTCAATACATTCATCTCTTAACTACTACACAAATTTCCAAGATCCACCTAACATTTCAATACTTTAATTGAGAAATATGACTGAATAAATCACTATTCTTCTTCTATTCTAGCATACTCATGCACTTCTATTCAGTAGATTTTCAGACAGACAAAAGATTTTGAAGGAAAAACTGTAAAGGTAAACTTATTCTTTGCTTTTGCTGTTGAGAAGAAATTGTAAGGAGTCCATTCAAGGATTTTGGGAGTTTTGTTTGTTTGTTTTGGGTGGGGGGTTACCCTGTTTTTCAGGACAAGTGGGACAATGAAGAGAGAACCATTAGTTTTTCCACCACAAGTCTTTTCCACGTATAGAAAATTACTTATGAAACAAGATTTTTTTATTCTAATTAATTTGCATTTTATCTCATTAAAGCATCTTTTATCTGCACATCAATCAGCCTGGGCAGTGAAACAAGCCTGGCTGGTTTTATTACGGGTTAAATCTTTTGTAACAGCTATCAAGCTATTGTCGATGTCTGGCTTTTCAGTTCTGATGGATGTGATTATGCACATAGATAGGGATCAAAAACGCTCAGAAAGATAGATTAAAGGAGGCTTACATACTTTACAAAAATAAACATACATATCAAGATTATTTTATTTAGACACATATCCAACCAAATATATACTGTTGTTCTGCTTTTGGGTTCCCTCCTCCCAACCTCCCAATAAAAAGCTTAAATTTGGCATTAAAATGCTTGAGTATGTACTATGTGCATTACACAAAAATTTTAACAGTTTTCCACAAGATGGCTCTACTAAACAGCACTACTACTATACACTTCCCCTAACCTCATTTTCTCTATTTAGCAAACTCCCTGCAGAGCCCATCAAAAAGTAGTCTAAAACTATTCTTAATACAAAACAAATAAATGTTAGTTTATCATTGTTAATTACTGTAGCCAGTCCAATTTATACAGGACTCATCCAAATTTCACACACACTTTCTGAATTCCCATTTTCCCAAAACATTCCATGAAAAAACAATAAAAAAAAGTTAGAAATGCTGAATGCATTAATCATATAATGCATCCAAACAGCTGCATACACTGAAGCTCAACAATATTTTAGACCAAGAAAAAGCAAACAATCCCTCCAAAATATTCCTACATAGCTCTCTTCCCAGTTCTTCATCTTTCAAATCAAAATGGCTTGTTGTAATTAAGAATTGCTGTTCACATGCTTACTTCTAAGCTACATCTGCTTGTTGCAAATTATTTCTGAGTACTGTGTCTAGGATGTGGCCCTTCCCAAGATCATTCACACATCTAAAGCTCTCGTCCATACAACAAAGAGTTTTTATTACAGAACAGCAATGCCACCACAAAGAAAAAGATCTTCTTTGATACCTTTCCTCACGTAAGAATTACACGGTTTTAAGTATCTGATTACGTGTATTTAGAGAAACACTCACATTGTAAAATGAAGGTAGGGTTTATGTATAGCAGCTGATGACTGTTTCTTTGGTGATCCTGAGTGACAGCTTGTCTCAAAAATCGATGAAGCATTCTCATCTTCACTATCATCTAATATTAAACTTGGTACATCTGTTCCAAGAAATATATTAATTAGAATCTTATCACTTCTAAATACATGCACAACAAACAAGAAAAGACATTACAATTTTCTTCATGTAAATTATAATGCATTTTCAAACGTAGGAAAAAATAAGTTAAAACTAAATATCAGAACACAGAATAATAAGTACTTATTACTTCAAAAACCAAAACAAATTAAATATTGTAGAAGTCTAATCACAATTACAATTTATTTTTTTAAACCATCAAGCAGAACAACTTCCTGAATACAACAAATGTTTAACTTGTTATGAAATGCTTCCTTTGGTTTTATTTCACAGCTAGAGGTTTTTCAAGGATAAAGAGTTATAAAATCTGCAATTCCTCAGACTACATAAACTTTGTACTTATTTACTTGCTCTAAGTGCCCAAATTTTTACAAGTACACCTCTTCCAAAATTATTCTCAGCACAATTACCTAGACAATATATGTTTACGAAGAACTGTTTTCCACCCTCTGATCATCTGCCAGAGAATATCAAATTACTCTTTATCACAGTCACTTCAATTCATACCATGTTCATAGAATCATAGAATAGTTAGGATTGGAAAGGACCTTAAGATCATCTAGTTCCGACCCCCCTGCCATAAGCAGGGACACCACACACTAAACTATGTCACCCAAGGCTCTGTCCAGCCTGGCCTTAAACGCTTCCAGGGTTGGAGCATTCACAACTTCCTTGGGCAACCTATTCCAGTGCCTCACCACCCTCACTGTAAAGAACTTCTTCCTTAGATCTAACCTAAAGTTCCCCTGTTTAAGTTTAAACCCATTACCCCTTGTCCTACCACTAGAGTCCCTAATGAAGAGTCCCTCCCCAGCATCCTTGTAGGCCCCCTTCAGATATTGGAAGGCTGCTATGAGGTCTCCACACAGCCTTTTCTTCCTCAGGCTGAACAGCCCCAACTTGCTCAGCCTGTCTCCATACGGGAGGTGCTCCAGTCCTCTTATCATCCTCGTGGCCCTCCTCTGGACTTGCTCCAACAGCTCCATGTCCTTTTTATGTTGAGGACACCAGAACTGGACACAATACTCCAAGTGAGGTCTCACAAGAGCAGAGAAGAGGGGCAGGAATTTACTATACCTTAACCTATTTTAATCTCTTTGCTAGTAGAGTAGTATAATGAACTGAAGTACATTATAAACTTCCAGAAACTAAATGCTAAAAGACTGATTACATTCAAAAGGCAGGCTGCAGGGACAAACAACTACCAAAAATACAAATACGACTCTAAAAGAAAACAACCAGTTGACAACTGAAAATCAGGTACAGCTAAATTAGCTACCAAAACTGCAATGGGATTAAGAGTGGACTGCTGTGATTTGATAACGGGAAAATACTGCTGCAACATCTTTAATTGCCCCAGGAAAGTTCAGTTGATGTTGCCCTATACAAGCCACTCATTCTCATTCCCATAGAAAAAGCAGTCTGCAATGATGGGATGAAAACAGAGACACCCAGCTGAACAGTAAGAGCAGTGCAGAGGCCAGGTCTCCTGAGGAAGAAAATGGTCTGCAATGAATGGGCAGCATTTCTGAGAGCATCCCAGAATCACTGCAGCACACTGCATTCAGGGCAACCACCAGACAACCTAACAGTAGCTCAAGTTGGCCACAGCTGCTTAGAAAATGATCTGCTGTGAAATGGAAGGGTGAAATACAGCGAGACGTTAAGTGTTACTCTCAGATATATGACCCACTGCATAATTTGCCTGATTTACATGAAGCCATGGCACAGGTCCCGCTACACTGATCACACCACCACCACTGGACAAAGGAATCAACTTCAAAGCAGCATTAAGCAGCAGACAGAGATGCCATCTAAGGGCTATGTATCTAGACATACAGCCAAGGAAAAATTGTTAAGAGATAACAAAAGCTAGTCCATAGCAAGAAAATGCAGTTGAGAAGCTGCTCTACACTTAGCTCCAGCAAGAACAGAGGCCTTCAAATCAAACGGACATCAGCCTCCTAACTTTTTGCTCCCTCCAGTCCCTAAACAGGCAGAATTTTTTTGGTGTATCAAAGGCAGATCATAGGGAGACCATAGGGTAAATCCTATGCTCATGCACTGGACACAGCTTTCACTTCCTAAAATATGTAATTATTTAAAAAGGCAGCCTATCTTTTAATTCCAAGCATCAAGCCTCTGTGACATTCTTTGCTTGAACACCTGGATTATGAGAAACAGGTACCGTTAGTGAACTCAAAGACATGTAGAAAACCAAATTTGTAGATTGTAAGCACATGAGTAAGCATCTGCTACATACCTGGCTCCGAATTTAAGAAACACTGAAGTCCTAGTGTGTAATCACATTTGCATTTAAAATCATTGTACAGGGAAGTGGATTTTGCTGCTTCTTACACAGATTAAGCTTATTATTCAATATTTTGGAGAGCTTAAGGGTTTAAGAATAACAATCAAGGTACAGAGGAAATGTTAGAAGAAACCTTAGTCAATGTATCTTCAAAACTGATCATCTAGAAACATTTAAAAGTACTCATAGCAGCAGAATTACCTAGTAAAACTACTATTTAAATCAATAAATGCTTCCAGACTCAGTTTGTAAGCAATAATGAGCAGTAATAAATAGGATTGTAAAGAATGTAACTGAGGAAAATATTCTGAACTAGAGCTTTACAACAAAGCCAGGGACTCCTAATTCATTCCTTCAACAATAATGACTATCTCTATGTTGGGCATTACCAGCAAGTTAACAGTATACAGAGACTTTAGCATCTTAAACAGCTTTGGTTATGAGAACCTAATCTGCTCAAGGTAGCCTAATACAACCTAACTACAGCTGCAAGTCAGCTCATTTCCCCCTACCCACCACTACATGCTCCCAGGTCTGATCTCATGCCAACTCCAACACTGTTAAAAACTCCAGCTATCCCACAGTCAGCAGAAAATTAACCCGACAAAAATACATCATTTTTGGATGAGTTTGCTGGCTAACATGGTTTAACAAAAGGCCTGACATACTAGAGTAAGTGGAAGGGATAGAGCTAAAGTGCACAGCTGGGCTGGAGGAACTGCTGCCAGCGTAAGGATCAGCTAAAGCTGCCTGGGCTGCAGTCCGAAAGCATGCTCTGGAATAGGAAAGTAAAGAAAGTCATGACTGTCACAGATTTGGACTATTTTCAAATTAATCACATACAACCACAAGTACTGTTCACATAGTTGGGGGAATGAGGGTGATCCCAGATAAGAACAGTAAAAAATAGTATGTCAGAAAAAGTAGGTATCAAAACTAAGCTACCTTGTTCAAATTAAACTTCCAAGAAATTACCAGGGTAACTATTAAAGTGTGTCTCAGAGAAGAGCTGGGTTTAAAAAAAAAAACCCAAAAACTATTGACTCACTGCCAGTCAAAACAGCCAGTTGCATTCCTCCTTGTTCCCTGCTTTCTCAATGCACCCACATTGCTCCCATTGCAGCAGTGTTCTGGCAATCATCTGACCCCTTAGTGAGTTGATTTTACTCATTAATTTGTCAAAAAGTTAACTTGACAAGACAGTAAGTAGTTCTCCATTTGCTAAGCCAGCAGAAGCAACTCAAATGATCAGCAGTGAACCAGGCCAGTTCAAGGGGAGGGAAGCCTCAGGACTTTCTCCTTAACCAGTTGATGACCATTGCATAGGCTCAGGTATTTCAGCTAACCACAATCTCACGTGCTGTGCTGCAAGCTTCCCACATGACTCTTTTGCAGCCTGTTTCTGCCCCATCAGCAAAGGGCTGGGCACAGATAATTGACACTCACGACAGAACACCTGTTCCAAGTTCTAACATACTAACACAGGAGCACCAATTCCAGGTCCTAATAGTAACACAACATTATTTCACTACTTAATTTTGTTTTGCCTGGTTATCCCCATTATTTCTTGTACCTAATTGGGGGTTCTCCTTTTTTCAAGTGGCACTCATTCCTATGGGATCTTGGTCTATACAGGTCAGTTTATTAAATTCCACAGCAACTTGGAATCAGCAGAAATAGTTCTGAACATCCAAGCGGATTGTATTTTCATACTAACACTCTGAACCAAATACACACCAGGTTTAAGGCTAGCAATACAAGAAAGCCAGTTCAAGTATTTCCAAATTCAAACAGCTTTTGCAAAACAAAAAAACTCAAACCACACCACATACCTTCACTTTTGTCACCCTGGCTAAATTCAGCATGAGGGAACACTTTGTGTAAAACCTCAAGAAGGTTAGTGAAAGTACGTTCCAACAGTGGTCTGATCACAGGAGATAATGCATGTCCTGAAGATGTCACGGCACGTTGGGAAGCAGGCACAATATTCTGCATTGCATGATAAAAATCCTGCGCACTGAGAACTACTGAAGAAACATCAAGCTGCAGTTTCTGACTGCTCACATAAATCTGGGGATAGCGCCGTCTCAGGGCAATCAAGGCAGCCTCAGTGCAAAGTGCTTTTATGTCAGCTCCACAGTACCCTAGTGCACACAAAAACAAAAGTATCTTCCATGAAATAGCATTGCTGTGCTACGTACACGCCTAAAGATAAAAACAACCAGTAAGACTTAATTGTCAAGGACCACAAAGCATCTGAAAAAAGGCATCAGGTCATAATCCAGTGACTGTGTTATGTACCAAGAAATTATGTCCAGGAATATTGAAATATATTAAGAAATTAATTCCACAGTGACCTACGTTTTCACTACATAGCACAATATATAGTGTATTTTCAGGCCAGGGTTACTGCTGTCATGGCTTTCTTTTTCCTTAATATTGTCTAAAGTATGTGTGCAATTTTAATAAGTCAGTCCTCCTCCTCCTTTTTTACTTTAATATCTCTACATGAACATAATTTTTAATAGCAAAGTAATTTTGTTCTACTGGATGAACATTACCAACTTTAAACTTTTACAGACTGAGAAAATGAGCAGTATAAAGAGAAGTGTTTCGTGAGTAGAATATGGAAGAGATGAAGTCTCTTGTTTAAAAAGCATGCTGTGGACTCTTGGAAAAATGTGAACTTTTACTATCAAGAACATTTTTCAGACTTTTTATGAGTTTCATAATTTTACTAATATAACCAGAAGACTAGAAAACCTATTAAACAGCACTAGAATTTTAATTCAGCCTGGCTTCATAAATATCCACAGGTGGTTACCTATAACTGCTTCATCATCACTGAAAAACACGGATCTGATAATTATGAAATACTGGGAGACTTAATACCTCTGTGTCTTCTGCAGTATTAATGGTTTGGCATTTTTCCCCATAGCTAGAAATTAGTTTTCAAATTTTTTCGTATCTCTCAGCAAGAGACAATAATATACCAGGGTATTTTGTAGAACCATAGTTCCACCTTTCAAAAAATGTCTAACATTATTCCAGTGGGAAGTCTTCTAAAGAATTATAGTCGCTATAGGAAAACGTGCTGCAGTGAGATACGATCACATAAAAGTTCACGGGTTTGCAACGAAATGTTTGTAGAAACTAATTAATTCTTCAGTTAAATTATTCTCAGTCAACTTTTTTTAACTTTTTTTATCCTCCTCCCAGTCTTACAGCATTTGCGTTTTTTCTTCTCTATTATTTTATCATTTTCCCCCTCTATGATTGTATTGGTCTTTTGGCAGCACCAAGTCTCAAAACTGAACCCTGCCTTGTTTCTCTCTCTACCCTCTGATGTGCTGCCGGCACACACATCTTTACAAGATTCATACAGCAACAAGGAACGAGGCTGATTCCATGCACAGTGTGGAAAAATAAAAAAGGAAGTAAGACAATCTTCCATCCACATCTTTCAGATACAAAACTTCGGGAGATAATAGTAAAAGATACCAACTTTTCCACTATAAAGTTGACTTAAATCAGGTAAGACTTCAAATTCCAGCTGAGTTTCTCATATATACTTGAAAAATAACTTTTAAAAAGAAAGAAACCGAACTAAACAAATAAACAAAAACCAACCCCACCAAATGGAAGATCACCAGAAATATCAGACTCCTTCTGCAACTTTTAAACTAAGCTTTTCAATTTTATAGTAAGATTAGTAGCTATAATGGTATAAACTTGATGAACACTCACTGTGACTGTTACATGAAAGTATGTAGCAATTCACATTCACAAGTTACCTTGAAGTAAATACATGTGACATTTGAAATGTGTTCAAATACATCCACTATATTAATCAATAGGAAACTAATTATTTGCAGCACTAAGGTTGTATTTAACTAACCTCTATCATGAATAATCAAAACCATGCAGGCACACTCCATCAGCCATGTGAACCCATTAGACAGTAGCTACAGGTGCATCAGAAAAATCGAAACCAAGGTTTTTTTCTTTAAATTCTGCTTTGTTCACTTTCCCATTTAAACTAGTCCACTTTCATCTAACAAGCATAGTGGATTAAACAAAAAATGCTGGGGGACGCTAAATCAAAGCTTAAATCAAAGATGTGCTAGAGATATATAGCACCCTGAATGCCTGTCACCTTGAAAGCTAGTTTAGCATCTTCATGACAAAAGATTTAGCAGCTCAGGAGCTACATCCTTTCCAATTTTTCTATTAATAAATGCTGTGATATCACTTTCTAACAGTCATTTTAATCACCGCTTATACATCTCCAAAGAATTGCAAAATTAGGAAATAATAGCCTGTAGCCTATTTTAAAAATTAAATTCTCAGGTGATCAGATACACGATTAGTCTCCATTTCTACTTTTGATTTCTCAGGAGCAATTACATTTGAAGACTAATAATTGGTGTCTCTTTTTGAGGGACTCTCTTGTGCATACTGTACATTCATTTCAGTGACAGGAAAACTGGAAAAATCCTGTATCTTGTAGAACATTAAAAATCTTTTTTAGTTCTAAAAATAAATGCACACTGATGAAGAGGAAGAAAAATGTGAGTAAAGTATTGTCAAAGCAAAATAAAATGTATCATGCCAACTGTAAATAACCTGACCTTATTTTTACCCAAATTAACACTATAATATAAACACCAAGGTTCAGCGCTTTTCCTTCCATTTTTGAAGCAGCTCACAAAGGATGCTCAATTTGGCAGGCAAAATGTACTGGCATGCCCTAGCTTAGCACAAAACAAGTAGTCTTGCCAAATACCCGTTTTGTTCTACCCATCACGACCACACTATGCTAAATATGTTTGAAGTACAACTTTTAAAGAGTAGGACAGCAAACAGGTGGATTCCCGTGTAGGTTTCCAAAGAATGCACTTTGATCACTGCAATTTTAAAGCCATACTCTTCCACCCCTACAGTGCAGAAATCATGTCCTCTCTAAAACTTCTGCCTGATATCCACCCCAAAAACCTGCAACAAACTGCAACTGAGCTCGGTGATGTTTGGGTGAATAAACTTGACCAATTCTGTCAATTTGCCACATAACTCCCTGGAACTACTAAAATGGACTGCAGGGAAAGA